ATATACATTTATTTATAAGTATATTTGAATATTTTTTAGATTAATATTTATTTTACTTTTTATGATATATTTAATAATGTAGGAGTATTTATTTTCTTAATAGTTCCATTAGTTCCAAACCATAGAATTTATTAATTATTCAATAGAAATACTGTACTTGTTCTAATAGTAGCAATTTATATAATTTTATCTTTATATAAATTATTTAAATTGGCTTACTTAGGTTCTAATTAATCACTGAAATCTCCAAAACCTAATTACCCATAGTACCCCCAACCCCAAAGGAAGATTCTTCCATAACTAGTCATACATACAGTATGTGCGAACCCACATTCAACTAAAACAATTTGATGGTTTTTAAAAACTGCCAATAAACCAGGTTCTTTTCTCTCCTTTTTATCACCAACCCCTAACTATCCATGTGTATTAATTCCTTAAGAATACAGTTAACCTTATTAACTTAAAAACATCGAAAAATTAAACCCACAAGACACTCTAGAGACCTTAAAAGGCACATTTATTTTCTAAAAAGGCAAATTTTTAGTCGTATTAGAATAAAGAGACCCATTAGATAAAGAAATATAAGAAATATCAAACTTAGCCTTAATAAAAGATACAGAAGAGTCTTCTTTTTGTTTAATAGTCGTAATTTCTGTTGGTAAATCAACAGAATAAGTGGATTCTTCATCATAAAAACCTAATTATGATTTATTATTTATTCCCCAGCCGAATAATTATCCATTTTTTAATAAAACTATTGAAAAATTATCACCTACAGTTACTTATTCGATCATATTTTATTTAAAATAATCAATTTCTACATAATTTTAAGGTTATTATTAGTTTATACCTAATTATCCAAAATCATTCATTCCCCAAGTAAAAATTTAATTTTAATTGTTTATTGCTAATGTATGGGTTTCGCTTATTTATAATTACTATATGTAGTTTTTTACTTGGAATTATTTGCTAAAAAGGGTCTCATATATATTTTTCCAGCCTTTAGGGTATATTTCAAAAGTGTCGACGAGTAGTTCTAGGTCTATAAGGTGGGAAAATAAGTATATTTTTTAATCTTATAAAGTTATAGAATGGTATTGGTCAAAAAGATAGTCATTTTTTATCTTTTTTGGGGTTTAAAGAGGTTAATTAATATATTTTTGTTAACGAGCTGGGGAAAATTTTTAATCAAGTTATTCTTCTTAATCCTTTTGGTCGTCATATTAATAAATTTTTACCACTTTTTCTTATTTTTTTTGTTAATCTTCTAATGAATTATCTTATCCTTATTAATTTATAGGGTTTTAAATATCTTTTTATATGTAAAATTATTAAATATCCTATTAATTTAAATAAGTTAATGATTATTAATATTTAATAGTATTATTATAATTATTATTATTATTATTATTATTATTATTATTATTATTATTATTATTATTATTATTATTATTTTTTCTAATATTTATATTTTTTTAAAATGTTTGTTTATTTAGAGTTTATTTTTATATTTATATATTTTTATTTTTTTATAATTTTTATTTTTTAATTGTTGTTTAATTATTATTTATATTTTATTATTATATATTTTTTTATGGAGATTATTTATTATTTGTTTATTACTATTATTATTATTATAATTCTTCATTGTCATTTTTTTTTTATAAATTTTAAATACTATTTATATTTTTATTTTATATTATTTATGATTATTATATACTATTTTTTTTTTTTTTTTTTCTTACTATATTTATTTTTTTTCTTAGTTTTTCTATTATTTTTACTGTTATTTTAACTATACACAATTATTTTTATTTTCTTATTATTGTTTACAATTTTATTAATTATTAGAATTATATTAATTGTTATTAATTTCAATAAACTAATCATCTTAATTTTATTAATATTCTTAATTTTATTAATCAATACTTTTAACATATTCATTAAATCTTTCTTCCCTTATTTTTTTTTTAATAATATATTTTTTCATATTTCTATAAATAATTTTCGAAGCATTTAAAAAAATTTTATATTCAGTCTAAAGTTTTTTCATTTTCCATATAGCTTAAACTTTCATTGCCAATTTTTTCTTCTTTAAAAATTCATTTCTCTTTATAAACATTCTTATGCTTTTTTAAATTTTTAAAATCGCTTTATTCTCTCTTATAACCTATCCTATATTTTGAATTCTTTTTATAAAATCTTAATATTTATTTCTGACTAAAAATCCTCTAACTTTTCTTTATATATAAATTGCGTTTCTTTTCAAAATTAGATTAAAGGCATTTTAAATAGAAATCTATTTATTTATTTATATAAAGAATTTTTTGTTTTTTACCGTTATTTTTTATTTACAAAACATTAATTTTTTTAATCTTTATCTAAATAAGAATTTTTTTATTGACCTTTATAATTATAAGAGTTATTATTTTTATTTTATGTATAAAAAAATTTAAGCACTATATTTAAAATAGTTTTAAAGAGCCAAAGCACTTATTCTGTATTTTTTTATTAGGGCTTTTTGTAATTTTGCTTTTACCCAGTTTTATATTTTTCTGACTTTTTTTCTTAAGGCTTTGAATTTTAGATATTATTATTTAACTTTTATTAATTTTTGTAAATATTTAATTAAAAATAATTTCCTTCTTAATATTTTTAATTATTTAGCTCTATTTTCATTTTAAAATTAATTTATATTTTATTTTTTCGAAATAAATACCTATATATAGCTTTTTAAATTTTATTTACTATTTTATTTAAATTAACTAGTTATTCATCAAATATTAATTCCAGATCAGTCTAACCTTTATCTTACATGAAAACTTTTTATTTACCTAATAAAATATCAGTACTTGTTTATTACGATTTAAATATAGTTTCGAATAATCTTTTAATTAAAATAAAAAAATGTAAATAAAATTTAAGTATATATAAATTAATATATATATATAAATAGATTTTAAATATATTACATATATCTTATATTATTTATTTATATTATAATATTTATATGTATTTATTACTTATTAGTAAGTTCCTTAAAATCTACATTTTAATCAATCAATTATTATGGAGATCTAAAATCTTAAGCAGCTATAGCATACCTACTATAGAACTATTCAAAAGTTTTCCTTATAGGATAAGATTGTTTTCTAACCTTAATAGATTCAAGGACACCCAAAGACCTAACTTGCGCTAAAGAATAAATAGTTTTAAAAAGGTCTTTTTTTTTTTCATCATTGGGTTTAATACATCTAATAAAATGACAATCACAAGCCATTAAATCATTCATAAGTACTTACATTTCGACTCTAAATTTACCACCTAAGGATTTGGCTTTATTTTTCGTATCCGCATTTTCATTAGAAAAAGAAAATAGTGTTTTGAAAAGCATATTTTTAGATTCAGATAATGTATTCACCAGTAAATCTTATAAAGAATCTACGTTTTTTTCTGTAAAATTAGTTGCAGTATACTCTACTTCTTTTGCCGAATGAACGATTGTAAAATTGGCTTTAGAAGCTATTTTCGGTGTTATAAAATACTTATTATTTTTATGAATTTGCCTTATTTTATTCAAAAATTTAGAGTCGTCCCCTTTAGTTTAACAAATATCATCTAAAGTGTTAAAAATGCCATTTGGAGGTTGATCAAGTAAATCAATTACAGGCTTATTGTCGGTAAAAGTTAAATATTATAAACAGCTTTGAAGGCCTTCGCTTATGAAGATTTATTCTTCTTGTTTAAATACATATTGGATATATAATTATTATAATTTCTCATTTGTATAATTAATGAAAAACTACTCGAAACCATTTTCTTTAAAAACTTCGAATCCATAGATATCTAAAAGACCAATTCCTCCTGTTAAACCATTATTAGGGTCATAACCTGCCGGAATGATTATTTAGTTAAGCTTTATGACTATCCAATTGAAAAGTTTCTCGTATAAATATTTAGCGACTGTATCTTTCATATTTATGCATTCTGAGGGTGTTAAAGGACTTAAAAATTCCTGTTTTTGAACCTTCCTTAATTTATTGGTGATTCCGTTTGCTAAGTCAGTCTAATTTACTTCTAGAAGTTTACATATTTAAGAAATTAAATTAGAGTCTTTTATTTTACAAGGGGTTTAGTCTGTATAGGTTGATTCATCTAATTTTATGTTCCCGATTTTCAATATGGCGGATAAACATGCAAAAATAGAGTCCTTTACTTCCGAAAAACCTAAAAGTTAAAAAGACTCTTCTACTTCATTAAACAAAGCTATATCGTCTAATTTACCTACTTCATAACATTTAGATTTGTTTAGATATTCGTATTCTTCGAAATTTACAGGATAGGTAAGGAAATTTTTTTATAAAACTTCTTTTTTAGCACCTTTTAGAAAATGGTAAAATATATGGAAATTTCTTTCATTTTGACCCTTAAAAAATAATATATATAATTATAAATATAAATATTTACTTATTAAGTTATACGAGCTTTTTCTAATAAATAATTAATAATTTAAGCACCTATTATACTTTTATCTTTTTTGTTGACTATCATAGTAACATATTTACCAAAACGGCTCGAATTATCATTTCTGACAGTTTTAGCATTACCAAAGGCTTCTAAAATTGGATTACAACTTAAAATCTTATAAATAAAAATAATTAAAAAATAAATAAAAATATAAAAATATATATATATATATATATTATATATATATATATTTATATAAATATATCTTTTATATATATATATATTTATATAAATATATTTATAAAAATTAACTTTATCTTCTATAGAAGTTTCATTTGTAGCTTTATGCTCTTTTTAGTCTTAAGAATGCATATATTGACCTAAAGAAGTTAAAAACTTCATGCAATATTTCGTATTTTCAGTTTTCCCAGCTCCGGATTCTCCTGAAATAACCAAAGCTTAATTTTTATTATTTTCGAACAAATCTTTAAAAGCCTAAGCAGTTAATCCAAAAACATGAGGTGCTAACTTTTTATATAAACCCTTATCTGTGGAACTTCCATCGACAATACACATATATGACTTTAAATTACTTTCAGAATACATTCCTTCGATTCCTTTGAAAGGATTAACCGCTAATAAGGTAGGGCCGACATATGTATATATTTTATTATCATCGAATCTAGTTCGTAAATTTAATAGTAATTCAGGCTCGTTTAGAATATCCATATTTACCATATCTTAATATGTTTCTTTTAATAATGCCCTTATTTAAAGTCGCGATGTGGAAACTTCAACTTATTTACCATTATCTTCAATTTTACATGTGGCTATTTTTGTTTACTTGTTAAAACCTATTATCTTTGCTTTAACGTATAATTCGTCCATACTGCTTTCAGCCATATTTATTCCATCTTGAACTAACCAAGCTATTTAATCTTTATTTTTATTTTTATATTTTTTTATTTTTTTTTTGTATTATTTATTTTTATATATCTTTTTTTATTTTGTTAAGATATTCTTTATTAAATGTATATATACCTGGTATTATCCATCCTGAATTTACTTCCGTTGTTTTTTTTTATGCCATTTTTAATTTTACGTATATAATATTAATATAAATTTAATTTTTGTTTATTTTATTTATAATTAATGGTAATTTTATTTATGAATTTATTTACTTTTTTAAGAAAGAAAATAAAAATAATAAATTTATATTTAATTGAATTTAAATATATTTGTATATTAAAATATTAAATTTATTTATACTAATATAAATAGTATTTTTAAGAATATATTTTAATTTATATTATGAATATTTTTATTGTTTAATATTTTAAATTATTTAATAATAATAATTAAATAAACTATTAATAATTATTAATAAATGATTAAATGATAATATTATAAAAAGAAAATATATATATATATATATATATATATATATATATATATATATATATATATATATGAGTGTTTTTTTTATACATATATCCATTATTTTGTACATATAATTTTAATTTTTAATATCTTTTATATTTTTTTACTAATCAACATTATAATTTAAAAATTTATATTTTTTTAAAAGATGGTTTTTTATTATTAATTATTAAAAGATATTAATTTTTATTTAAAAAATATATAAAAAATTTATATAAACAATAAAATTAAATGTATGATGTTAAATTAGCTTAAACAAGTATATTCGAAAGTATTGATATATTTGGAAAAACAATAGGAATTCGTTACAATCAGTAACCTCTTCATAAGACTAAATTCGGCGGAATAATAACTTTAATAATCCTTTCCTTAATTTTATTTCAGATAATTTCTGTATCAAAGAAATTATTTTAAAGGGAAAATCCTTCAGTAATTTTTCAAGAAAGATTTGTCTATTAACCCGAAAACTTTTAAATAACTCCAAAAACATTCACAATAGCCCTCGGAATAAACGACTAGAAATTCCGTAATTTTATAAACGAGAAAGTTTATTATTTAAAAGCTACTTTATAAACCGCCAAAATAGAATTAGATTAAGAAACAGGCTAAAAAACTAAGAAATGGACCTATACTCCAATAAAAATGGAATCATGTATACCTCAAAATTTCTAAGTGGAAGGTACTTAGGATTATTTTCTTAAGTAAGATTACAAAAATATGTATTGCATAAGTATTGATTAGACCGGAATTTCCCTAGAAGGGGAGTTTTCGGCTGATATATATAAAAATATAGAAATTTAATTACATAAATGTGAGTAAGGTGGGGATAGGGAATGTTTAAAGAGTGAAGAAGTCGAGGAAAAACTGGAGAATTTCGCAGTTACAATGCAAATTAGTGACACTACAGTTGATATTACTAATAAAAAATCTCCCTTTAAAAATATTGGAAAAAACCTATTTTGGAAATCAGGTCCTTCTTTTTATAAATTCGTTAATATTTACCTTAGAAATAATTATATTTAATCCGATTATGGATATTTAGGCTCTGATATAATCACAGAAAGAGCTGTAAGCTATTCACAAGATAGAGAACAAGTTTTATAGAAAACTAGTTCTATGTTATTTAATTTTAATATTGCTTATGAGAAAAACAAAGAGTCGATTTATACTAGAACCTATTTGAAAATAGATACTGCTTTGGCCTAAATTGGAGGTATGTTTAATTTAATGGTTACTATAGGGTGTGCTATTTGTTGGCCTATTTCTGAATTGGAACTTAATAGGAAATTAGTTTAGTAGCTATTTAATATTGTAGGGGAATAAGATTAAAATAAAGAAAATAATAAGAATAATAGGGCTACTATTTAATTAAATCTTAAAAATAGTGAAAATATAAAAAAAAAAAAAATGATGAATTTAAATAAAGAAATTAATAATTTTTTTAAAGTTTAATTTAATGAAGTAAAGATAAAAATATGTGAATATATATGGAATTATTTTAATATTTTTAAAATTTATTAATCTTAAAAATAAAAAATGATTTCTTTTGCAACAGATAAACTATATACACACATCGACTTAGTTTATATTATAAATAAACTTATAGAAGTCGAAAAGCTTAAGTATTTACTTTTAGATGAAAATTAATTGAAGCTTTTTGAATATTTACCTAAACCAAGCCTTAAAATGTCTGATTTTTCAAAGGATAAAAATTAGATAGAAATAATTGAGGAGAATGCGAAAAATAAAACTATTGGAATGATGTTTGTTGATAATAGAGATATTTGTTAGAAAGCCTAGGATGCTTAAAATGCTTTTAATATAATAACTTAATATAAAATACATAAAAAATCTTTAATTGATTAAAAATTAATATAAATGTTAGACCCGAAATTAGTAGAATTATTTTAAGAAAACTCTTTTGATTTAAAGTAAATTCTTTTGAGCTAGAATAAATATAAATCTTTTAATAATAATACTATATTTAATAAAAGTTAACATTTATAGAATTTTTAAAATAATAAAGAAAATAATAATATTCAATAATAAAATAATTTGATAACTTATGAAAATAAATAAAATAATGTTTTCGAAAGTGAATCTAATATAAAATAAAGTAAAACCGAAATTTTATAAGATAAAAATTAAGTTTAAAATAGCTAATAAGAAAATATACATAATTATAGTCAATAATAAGGATAAAATATTAGTATAAGAGATCCATATTTTGATAATTCTAAATTTACTTCAATTTTATAAGCTTTATAATATAATAGTTAAAATAATTATTTAGAATAGATAATTGGAGATATTGACAATAATGTTAAGTGATTCTTTAATGATCTTTAAAGATTTTTTTTTTATTAATTTGAATAAAAAATAAAATAAAAAAAAATATTTATTATATTTATATATATTTATATATAAATATATATGCTTTTTATTTTTTCATTTTTACTACTTATGTATATAAAGTTTTTTAGAAAATAATAAATATATACAAAATTTTAATTAATAAAGTTTTTTTTATAAAAAATAAAAATGAATAATGCATTATTTATTATCTAATAAATAAAAAAATATTAGTAATTATGTAATTTAAATATTTGCAAAAAAAAAAAAAGGAAAATAACACAAAAAAAAAATATCTAATATTATTTTTTCTTAAAAATATTATATTATTTGTATTCCTGAATATATATATATTTTTTTTTTAAAAAAAAGAGCACCTTTTTTTTTATTATTAAAATATCCAGATCATCTGTTACCTTTAGCAACTTTTTCGATTTCGTCTTTCTTTCTAATAGACCATGAGTTTTATGTATTATTTTTTTCAGCATTAATGATTTCATCAGCTAATGTTTCAGCGATCGACTTGATTGATTTGAAGGCACTTTCTCTTGATCCTTTAATAATGAAGTAGATGGCTAAGTTAATTCTTCTTAAAGGTGAAACATCGACTGCTTATTTTCTTACGACGCCAGCAGTTCCGATTCTTGTGGAATCTTCTCTAGGTCCAGCATTTTAGACTGCTTTAACAAAAACATCAAGAGGATTTCTTCCGGTTAAAATATGGATAATTTCAAAGGCATTTTTAACTATTTTAATACATAAAGCTTTTTTACCTGCATTTCTACCGTGGAACATGAGAGTACCTATTAATCTCTCAACGATTGGGCAAGTTGCTTTTCTGAATTTTTTTACTTAATATCTACCGGCTGTGTGGGGAACGAAAACTTAAGATTTTGTTGTGGTACAGGCTATGTAATTTTGGAAGCATGGGTCGTTTATCTTCACATCTTCGTAATCCCATTTACCAAAAAGTTTGGGTTTTGTAGCGAATCCTTTTTATTCTGACATTTTTATATTTTTAATGTTAATATTTAATATTTTTACTAATAATAAGAATTTTTTTTATTTAATTTTTATTTATTAATATTATTTTATATTTTTAAATATTTATACCCAAAATTTATTATATATTATTTAGTCTTTAGATGTGAAATGAAAAATATAAAAAAAAAAATAAAAATATCATTTTGAAAATATAATAAAATAACAAAATATAATATAATAAAAAATAGAAATGTAGTTAAACCTAAAAAATCCTAAAAAAAAAAACATTTCCACTTCCAACACATTTTCCAACCCAAGGACAATGATGATCAAATTAATAAATACAAACATCACAATCATTACAATGATAAGTTTCTCCAATTTTAACAATATTACATTTATAACAATATCTTTTTAAAAAATATATATATATATATATATATATATATATTTATATATATATACATTATATATATTATTTTTTACAAATTTTATTATTATAATTCTTATGATGCTTGTTCTCTAGAACTTGCAATTCCAGGATTTAATATTCCTGTTAATAAATATATTGATATGTGTTAAACATTTAAAAATGTAATAGAATAAAACCAATAATATTTTAGTTATAAAGAATATTTAGAAATTAAAACTTCACAAATGCAGCATATAATCAATGTTGTGAAAAAAGTTTTGTCTTAATAATATATTTTAAGATTTATAATTTTTAAAAATTTTATTTACAATTTGGTCCTAGCGTAATTAAAGGCTATCCTTTGTATATTAAATATCCCTTTGTATTTCCCATATATCTTACATATTACGTTTATTATGTATCGTTTTTTATATATCTATTTTTTAACAAAAATCTATTCTTTCTTTGCATTTATCATTTTTTTTATCTTGATATTTAATTATTTTTAGTTTAATTTTTTTTAAATTTCTTGGTTTTATTTATTTTAATTTTTATTGTTGTTTTCACTTATATTTTCTTATTCTACATTATATAATTCATCAATTTTCATTTTATACTATTCAGAATTGAATTCATCATTTTGTTGGTCGTTTTATACTAGCATATATTTTTTTAAAAAAATATTATATTATATTATTTTACTAATTATATATAAATAATAATTTATAAAATAATAATATAATTTATATATTTCATATAATTAAAAATATATTAATTTTTTATATAAATTTCTAAAAAATAATTTTTTTTTAAAAAAAGTAATTATATTATTGAAAAATTTAATAAAAAATAATATACACATTAATTAAAAATCTTTGTAAAAAAAAAATATTTCTTAATTTAATTATAATATTTATAAATTAAAAATATTATTTAAAAAGATAATCAATTATTATTTTAACATTTTTAGAATATTTTAGAATATATTTTTTTTAAAGATATTATAAAATATTAAAAATATTACAAAACATTAAATAATAAAATAAGAAAATATTAATATAAAAAATCTAGTAAAATTTGATTATTATTATAAATAAGTGTTTTTAAAAAAACAATATAATAAAATAAAATTATATAAAATATATATAAGTATATTTATGTAATTTAAAATTTATAATTACATATATATATCATTTTTATATGCATATATATAAACAACAATACTTAATATAACTTTAATTAAAACCTTATTTTAAAACTATTAAATAGATTTATAAATACTTTTTTTTAAGATTAATTTTTAATTTTTATATTATTTTCATTTTTGATGTATATTATATTAATATATAAAAACAAAGATTAATAAGAATATTGATATATAAATTATTTGAAGTTTTTATATTAAATTTAAGTTTAAACATATTAATATTAAATAAATTATTTTTAAGAAAATAATTATTAATGAAGAAATTAAAAACTAGGCTGAATATAAAATAAATGATTTTATTTATTTTTTTACATTATCTAAAATATTTTTATTATTATATAAATAAAATAAATTATATACATATATTTTTATAAAGTCTATTTTATTAAAAGATTTATATCTTTTTTTTATTTTATTAGTAAATTATTTATTAATTTATATTAAATTATTTTTATTTAAATATTTTTCTATCATTCGATGTTTATTAATGAATTTATAATTTTATATTCATAATTATTCTATTCATAAAAAAAAAAATATATAATGTTTTTTCTTTAAAGGAAAATAATGTATATTTTTTTAAAATTATTAAAAAAATATATATATACATAAAATTGTAATTTAATAAAAATA